AACAAAAGACGAGTGCACTAAAAGAAGAAACGCAACTATAGCTAGCAGGAATGCTAGTTACTTGTACAAGACATGGGGTCAGCGAGAAAACTTGAAAAAGCTGTTCATTTATGCAGAGATCTACAGTTATGAGTGTCATCAACAATACAAGGAATTTTAAAAGACCAAAATGGTAAGAACACAAAAACAACTATGCTGCGACTGAAAGCATCATCAGAGATATTGGCAAAAATGTGCTGTATCATCATTCATGTGTGGTTGGCAGGTGACAATTTTCTTCAAGGAACGTGACTAGAAAGCGCGAAATTCATCAGAAGTGATGTGGACAAGAAAACACAACGGAAAGGCGAAGGCCCATGCCTTGGCTTATATGCACAAGTACGCAGATAATAATGCACACAAATATGGTCAATAACACATTCGAAATTCACAGGCATTAAAAATTTTTGGGTTTATACAGTTTACTCCGTAGGCGTGGCCTCATGACCGGTCAATAAGTAGATATCGTGCTTCTCACAGCTACAAAGCGGATGCGATTTCAATGCAATCACCCTGAAATATGCTGAATGATTAGAATTGACGCAAACTTTTGCCGAACAGAACAGCACTTTGATCGACCACTAAGGTCAAAGTAAAACAATGAGCGATCATAAGCAGCATAGTGGTATTTAAATAGATCTTTTCCTTGCCTTCTGGTTTCAATATCACTTAATCAAGTAAAGTTAACAGCAGCATGATGCTCATACACACTACGAATTTCCTCTTTGATTGAGCGTCATACGCTCGTCAATTTTTCTCCCAAGATGAGAGACTTAGAATTGCAAGTTTTCAAACGATTTGTGCGCAAAAATGCAACAAATAGATTTTTCAATGAACTTTTGATCTTCGCAATTACATTGCAAAGAGGTGCCATGCATTTGACCATTTCTATATGCCGCATAAATCAAAATGCGTTTTCTATTACCAGAAAAACATTTTCTATAACAAAAAAATAGACTCCGCTTGAATAAATAGGTCATTTACGACGAAAACTAATCTCAGATTACGTACCAAACAAACAAAAAACATCTTCCAGCATCTTGTTCTTTACAAGAGAAGCAATTTCTGTAACTATCTGAATTCCAAATGAAATTATACGGACCTGTCATTGCCTATCACGCGATAGATTTTTGACATATCGGAGATATCTTGCGTCACGGTATTGTTCGACAGACATCTTCCCTAAAAAAGGAGGAATAAGTCGATGCCGCAAAGAAAGTGCGAGAAAAAGAATCAATTCAATTGACTGAATTTACGAATTCACCTGTACTCCGTGAGAATGGAAAGCTAATATTGAATCCGGCATCGTATGTATATATTCTATGTGGAAATTGAATGTAAACACAGCTAATTTTGTCTTCTCTCGTCCTTCTAGATCAGTTATAACCACCTAAATATAATTCATTGGTTTCCGTCTTTAAAGCCTCAATAGAATACCTTGTTTTTATAGGCAAACAGCAACGAATCCTTCCCGATCTGCGACATACCCACTATATCAAGCTTCGCGTTGTTGAACATAGAAATGTCAAGAGTTTCCGACGGATTCAAGATCTAAAATCAGCAATCATACAAAAATGCCTCTGAGATATTCTGAGAAAATCATTATGTGACCAGACTTACTTTCCTATCTTCAAATTTTACCCAGCTGAATTCGTACTTGTCGTTACTCTCAGTAGCCTGGACACCAACACAAAGTTGAGGGAAATCGGTGCGTGCGTTCACCAACTAAAACGTTGTTAATTATCAACTGCCTTGTGTTATACATACACCAACCTTGAAGGGACTGAGCGGAAACCGTAAGGAACTGTCAAGTTCAGACGACCTCACAAGCAAGAATTTGTTTAGAGGCTCATACCTAAAAAGTTTCCAAAAACTTAATCGAAGGAGAGAGAAACTCAGCGGCTCCGAGATAGAAGGAAACCAGAGCCGAAAAAAAGATTGCATCACGGAGAAAACTATCAAACCATAATGATCGTTGTTATGGTAGTTATTACTTGTCAGTAAACTTGTAAATAAAAATTATGATATTGTTTGGATGATGCTACAAAAATATAATATCGTGATCTTACTCGAAGAAAAAGAGCTAAG